TGACCTGCTGTTACAATCAAATCATGCTCATAGAAAGGATAGTAATGAACATGTAGACACATGTATTTCTGTGTATGAAGCATCTGCTTTGTGAGAAGTGCTTCTCATAGGATATGTGAACGAGCTTTACTTTGACATTTCCTCAAGCGAGAATGGCCACCACTGAAACTTTCCCTTGGTACCCTTTTGGCATTGGAAACTCCTGACTGATAAAGGTAACCTGCACCGTACCTCTCAGGCTATACGTTTTTCCTTACCACCGGGAGCTTGTTGTTTTGCCCTGTCACAAACTGTTTGGCGATGGGGTATGATAGCATCAGGATCAACTGTACTTTGGCCCTCTTGGAGGAATCCCTGGCCAGAGACAACATCGAAGGGGCGTATATTAAAGCAACACACATGCATCCACAAGACTAGACTTAACTTCCAGTGGTATTGTTTTGATGTCCTGACAAATGTAAGAACTTAAAGTGCTTGTCTGACTTTGACCTGACTGGCCTTTCCATTTACACACATGATGTTTCATATTTAAGGTGGATTTCATATACAGTTGAAGTCAGAATTATTAGCCCCCCTTTGATTATTGATGTCTTTAAATATTTCCCAAATGATGTTTAACCGAGCAAGGAAATTTTCACAGTATGTCTGATAATGTTTTTTCTTCTGAAGAAAGTCTTATTTGTTTTATTTCGGATAGATTAAAAGCAGTTTTAAATTTTTTAAACACCATTTTAAAGTCAATATTATTAGCCACTTTAAGCAATATTTTTTTTCAATAGTCTACAGAACAACCCATCATTATACAATAACTTGCCTAATTACCCTAACCTGCCTAGTTAACCTAATTAACCCAGTTAAGCCTTTAAATGTCACTTTAAGCTGTATAGAAGTGTCTTGAAGAATATCTAGTCTAATATGGCGAATAATTCTGACTTCAGCTGTATAGAAGCATTCAAACTATACAGTCATACATACACGTCATATATGCATCAAACATTTTGATTATTGTAACTAATATTATAAAGTAGACTAAGGAATCAAAAAACTGATAGTTTCGGTTTACTTTCTCGCTAAAAATCGCTTGTTTTCCCATCAATAATTTTCTTTTTCTTTTTTACTCAAATTATTTTTAAAATTGAATTATTTATTTATTCTTTCAATTTTTTTCATTAGGTTCATCTTAGGTCAGACATTAAAATATGCATAATATTGAGACATATAGAAATATGCACTGATGCAATTCACCAAACAAGAAATTATCAAGAAAAAATTATACACTAAATAAGTATATAAAAAAAGGTAAAATACCACATTTATACACAAAGATATACAAACATAACAAAAATTAAATAATAAAAAATAATAAACAAACAAACAAATAAATAAATTAGTTAATTCATTAATATATATATATATATATATATATATATATATATATATATATATATATATATATATATATTGTCATAATATTCATGCAAAAGGTTTTATTTTAAAAAAATTTAGCATTGTTTTCAGTCATTTATTAAGAATAAAAATTGTATAATTATTATAATATATATATATAATTTTTTATAAATATAAATAAAGTGTTATATTTGCTGACAATAAATGCATATATTTATTATTAGTAAAATTTTAGTTATTTTATGGGGGGGGGGGGGGGGGGTGTTCATATGGGGTGTTCACCCAGGGTGACATTTAAACTAGAACCGCCACTGATTAATTGTAACGCGCTATTATTGCCCAACACTGTCATAGAAAGTTGTAGAAAGTTTAATCTAATATTTTAGCCCCTCTGATTGATGTAAGCTGACGTGACTAGAAAGGCTAACTTGTTTCAACTCAAAAGCACACCATTTTTTTTTAACAGCGCATCGGTCAGAGCTGGACTTTGTGTGTGTGTGTGTGATGTCCAGACTGGAGTAAATGCAGTCTGGCGGGCAAGATAGACAGTCTTGGCTGCGGTTGGTTTGTTTTCAGACAGAAATGAGCATCAGTATCTGGCAACCTCCAATGCAGCCAAACGCCAGCCAGACCACAGATACCCACAACGCCTGTTTGATTTCACTTAATTATGGATGCTCATGTGTCACGTACAGTTGAAGACAACATTATTAGCCTTCCTGTCAAACGTGACTTTTCTCTCTCTTAATATTAGTGCTGTTTAACAGAGCTTTGTGTTTTTCACAGTATTTCCTAATATATTTGTCTCCTGGAGAAAGTCTTATTTATTTTAAACAGTATACACACACACACACACACACACACACACACACACACACACACACACACACACACACACACACACACACACACATATATATATATATATATATAGAAAAGCAGTGATCAATATTATCAACTACTTATTTTTGATTGTCTACAACAGAACAAACCACTATATTGTCTAATGAGTTGCCTAATTAACTGCGTAGTTTGTCATTTACACATCCTTTGCTTGTTTCAAACCTTTATGAGTTTTTTTTTCTTCTGTTAACAACATTTTTAAGACTGTTGAAAACCTGTAACCATTGACTTCCATAGTTTTTGTTTGTCCTACCATGGAAGTCAATGGTTGCTGGCTTTCAGCATTCTTCAAAATATCTTCTTATGGGTTCGACAGAAAAAAAGAAGCTCAAAAAGGTTTGAAACCACTAGAGGGAGAGTAAATAATGAGTAAATTAAATATCTCACTTTAAATTCTGAATTCAGCAATTCATTAAATGAAACAGGAAAAGACCAAGTCTTCAATCTCACTTCTATTTTTGTACCCCTAGCCATAAATATATATATAAATATAAACATTTCCTCAAATATATGCATGCATGTTTGTATTTATATATACCCACATAATAAATATACACAGTAACACTTATTCAAACCAAAACAATAATTGCAAAACAAACTGTTATTCTGATTAATTGCAATTAATAATTATTTAATCATAATTATTTAATGCCCAGCACAAGTGAAAAAACATTGGTTATTAAAACTATTGAATTTAAAAATGTGCAATTTATTTTATTTTAAAAGATAAAAAAAAATACAATACAATGCAATACAATACAATACAATACAATGCAATGCAACACAATACAATACAGTATAATGCAATGCAATGCAATATAATGAAATACAATGCAATACAATACAATAAAATACAATACAATACAATACAATGCAATGCAATGCAATGCAACACAATTCAATACAATATAATGCAATGCAATGCAATATAATGCAATACAATACAATACAATACAATACAATGCAATGCAATACAATACAATACAATGCAATGCAATGCAATACAATACTATATTTATTATATAGAGCACGTTTAAAAACAACCAATGTTGACCAAAGTGCTGTACATAGGATAGCTAAAAACAGAGAAGCAGAATATAAAAGAAACATTTAACCGATAAGAGCAATAAAACAGTGATGAAGGAGTATTAAAAGCGAGAGAAATTAGGTCTTTAAAACAGACTTAAACACAGAGATTGAGGGGGAAAGTCTAATGTGTATCGGTAGACTGTTTCAGAGTTTAGGACAGCAACAGCAAACGCTTGATCACCTTGTTTTTTAAGACGTGTTCTGGGCACGTTGAGTAAGTTGAGATCGTAAGATCACAGTGATCGAGAGGGCGTATATGGACAAAGCAAGTCAGTAAGGTACTGAGGAGCAAGATTATTGACGGCTTTGTAGACGAATAGTACAGTTTTAAAATCAATTCTGTATTTAATGGGTAACCAGTGAAGTGCAGCTAAGATTGGAGTTACCGACTCATACTTGCGGGTGCCAGAGAGTAGCCTAGCTGCTGCATTTTGAACCAGCTGCAGACGAGAGAGAGAAGAAATACCAAAATAAAGAGCGTTACAGTAATCTAGACGTGTTGTTATGAAGGCATGAATCACCGTTGGAAAATGTTTCTGGGATAAAAATGGCTTGACTTTGTAAAGTTCATTCATAAACTAATTTCGGGAGGATCACGTGCTTATGATTTATCATGGCCGGTCTCGCATTTGCTAATCACTATCTTCCAATCATATGAGCCCTAAGCTACTATAAATAGCCACAGTTTTCAGTTCACTTTATCTTCGTTTGGAAGAAACCCCCCTCCTCCCCTATTCTCCTCCTTTACCTCTGATTGGGCGGCACGGCGGCCCAGTGGTTAGCACTGCGAGCCCCACAGCAAGAACACTGCCAGCCCTGGTTCCACAGGACCGGTGGGTGTTTCTGTGAGGAGTTTGTATGTTCTCCCCGTGTCCGCGTGGGTTTTCCACGGTTTCTCGGGTTTCTTCCCACCATCCAAAGACATTCAACATACATAACAATCAAGCATTTGTCTAATCCCTTGTGTTCCCTTAGCTACCGCAGCAGGGGAGTTCTGAGATCCACCAGGCTCAGGCTCCCCTCTCGCTCTGCCAACAGGAGGAAGCCCCGGGCTCGAGGAGCCCTTGAGCTCGGGGCTCTCTCCCAGGACAGCATGCCAAACAAGCTTTTATAAATCATCAGCTAAATGTGAACTCTTGAAAGGTGGTAAAAGCAGGATTTAACGACAGTACTGATCTGTTTGTCAAATTTTAAGTTTTCATCAAACATAACACCTAGATTTCTTACACACTGGGTAATATGCGGAGCCAATGATCTCACATTGACATCTAACAGAGGACTTTCTTTGTGCCCAAATACAATTACTTCAGTTTTTTTTCATTTAAATTAAAAAAATTGCCCGAGAGCCAAAGTTTAAGCTCCTCTAAGCAAGCCGGGAGTGGTTGTAAGCCTTTAATATCTTTTTGTTTTAGAGCACAATACATGTGAGTGTCATCCGCATATAGATGCAAGGACATTAAAGATATTAAAGAAAAGTATTACAATTTCAAAGCAGGGCTAATAATTGTGTGTTCAAATGCATTTGCCTTTTTCATTTGAGTAATAGCTGAATGCATTATTAATTTTGACTCATGGCTGGTTCTGCTGTCTCTTTGTTTCAGCTCCAAAAACGTGCAGCCCGAAGCAGTTTGTTTGCAGGGATCAGGTGACGTGCATCTCCAAAGGCTGGCGCTGTGATGGAGAGAAAGACTGTCCGGATGGCTCAGATGAGGCTCCGGATGTCTGTATGTACATCTCTTTATCTCTTTAGGGTTCAGTTCCTCCAAAATTGAATATTTGTTCTGCTATCCGCTTCTTTAGGGGTTAGTGTTACCCCAAAACGGATTATTTTTGGCTATCCGCTTCTTGAGGGGTTAGTCCCCTCAAAACTGAATTTTTTTTTTTGTTGTCCACTTCTTTAGGGGCTAGTTTAACCCCAAAGATGAATATTGTTTTTGTTGTGCGCTTCTTTTGGGGTTAGATCCCTCAAAATGTTATACTTTTTCTGTTTTCCACTTCTTAAAGGGTTAGTTTTCTCACAAAATGTAATATTTTTCCTGATGTCCGCTTCTTTAGGGGTTAGTTCCCTCAAAATGTTATATATTTTCTGTTGTCCGCTTCTTTAGGGGTTAGTTTCCCCCAAAAAATTTAATATAGTTTTGAATATGAGCTAGATAAGTTGGCGGTTCATTCCGCTGTGGCAACCCCAGATTAATAAAGGGACTAAGCTGAAAAGGAAATTAATATATGGATGTTTTTAAATGCAGTGATGTGAGGTGGTGCATTGAGTGAAATCTGAGCTATGAGAGTCCTGGCTGTGTGTTGCTGTTAGTGTTTCTGATTGGACTTATCACTGTTGGGTTTTTCCGAGTGGTCGTTCTGTTTCTAGATTACTTTGACCTGAAGCACACATTTTTATCATTTCACTTGTTTAGTCTGGTCAGTTCCTTTGACATTGGCTTCTTGTGGCCTTGCTTAGATCTGTTTACAGTGAGTTATCAAGAGGACGCTGCAAATACTAGATCTGTTTCCCTTTTTACTTTATACAAAGACCATCACAAATTCACAATTATGATCTTCATTTCAGAAACATGTCTCAAACAGACATATAACAGCCTGACTATTCAATTACACATAGTTTATAAAAGGTTTTTCCCAGATGAGTTTAGCTGTAGACTAGTGAGTAGATGAGTTTAGTTGTTGACTAGTGAGTAGATGAGTTTAGCTGTTGACTAGTGAGTAGATGAGTTTAGTTGTTGACTAGTGAGTAGATGAGTTTAGCTGTAGACTAGTGAGTAGATGAGTTTAGTTGTTGACTAGTGAGTAGATGAGTTTAGCTGTTGACTAGTGAGTAGATGAGTTTAGTTGTTGACTAGTGAGTAGATGAGTTTAGCTGTTGACTAGTGAGTAGATGAGTTTAGTTGTTGACTAGTGAGTAGATGAGTTTAGCTGTTGACTAGTGAGTAGATGAGTTTAGTTGTTGACTAGTGAGTAGATGAGTTTAGTTGTTGACTAGTGAGTAGATGAGTTTAGCTGTAGACTAGTGAGTAGATGAGTTTAGTTGTTGACTAGTGAGTAGATGAGTTTAGCTGTTGACTAGTGAGTAGATGAGTTTAGTTGTTGACTAGTGAGTAGATGAGTTTAGCTGTAGACTAGTGAGTAGATGAGTTTAGTTGTTGACTAGTGAGTAGATGAGTTTAGCTGTTGACTAGTGAGTAGATGAGTTTAGTTGTTGACTAGTGAGTAGATGAGTTTAGCTGTTGACTAGTGAGTAGATGAGTTTAGTTGTTGACTAGTGAGTAGATGAGTTTAGCTGTTGACTAGTGAGTAGATGAGTTTAGTTGTTGACTAGTGAGTAGATGAGTTTAGTTGTTGACTAGTGAGTAGATGAGTTTAGCTGTAGACTAGTGAGTAGATGAGTTTAGTTGTTGACTAGTGAGTAGATGAGTTTAGCTGTTGACTAGTGAGTAGATGAGTTTAGTTGTTGACTAGTGAGTAGATGAGTTTAGCTGTTGACTAGTGAGTAGATGAGTTTAGTTGTTGACTAGTGAGTAGATGAGTTTAGCTGTTGACTAGTGAGTAGATGAGTTTAGCTGTTGACTAGTGAGTAGATGAGTTTAGTTGTTGACTAGTGAGTAGATGAGTTTAGTTGTTGACTAGTGAGTAGATGAGTTTAGCTGTTGACTAGTGAGTAGATGAGTTTAGTTGTTGACTAGTGAGTAGATGAGTTTAGTTGTTGACTAGTGAGTAGATGAGTTTTGTTGTTGACTAGTGAGTAGATGAGTTTAGTTGTTGACTAGTGAGTAGATGAGTTTAGCTGTTGACTAGTGAGTAGATGAGTTTAGCTGTTGACTAGTGAGTAGATGAGTTTAGTTGTTGACTAGTGAGTAGATGAGTTTAGCTGTTGACTAGTGAGTAGATGAGTTTAGCTGTTGACTAGTGAGTAGATGAGTTTAGTTGTTGACTAGTGAGTAGATGAGTTTAGTTGTTTACAAGTGAGTAAATGAGTTTAGCTGTCGACTAGTGAGTAGATGAGTTTAGTTGTTGACTAGTGAGTAGATGAGTTTAGTTGTTGACTAGTGAGTAGATGAGTTTAGTTGTTGACTAGTGAGTAGATGAGTTTAGCTGTTGACTAGTGAGTAGATGAGTTTAGTTGTTGACTAGTGAGTAGATGAGTTTAGCTGTTGACTAGTGAGTAGATGAGTATAGCTGTTGACTAGTGAGTAGATGAGTTTAGCTGTCGACTAGTGAGTAGATGAGTTTAGCTGTTGACTAGTGAGTAGATGAGTTTAGTTGTTGACTAGTGAGTAGATGAGTTTAGCTGTTGACTAGTGAGTAGATGAGTATAGCTGTTGACTAGTGAGTAGATGAGTTTAGCTGTCGACTAGTGAGTAGATGAGTTCAGCTGTTGACTAGTGAGTAGATGAGTTTAGTTGTTGACTAGTGAGTAGATGAGTTTAGCTGTTGACTAGTGAGTAGATGAGTTTAGTTGTTGTCTAGTGAGTAGATGAGTTCAGCTGTTGACTAGTGAGTAGATGAGTTTAGTTGTTGACTAGTGAGTAGATGAGTTTAGCTGTTGACTAGTGAGTAGATGAGTATAGCTGTTGACTAGTGAGTAGATGAGTTTAGCTGTTGACTAGTGAGTAGATGAGTTTAGTTGTTGACTAGTGAGTAGATGAGTTTAGCTGTTGACTAGTGAGTAGATGAGTATAGCTGTTGACTAGTGAGTAGATGAGTTTAGCTGTTGACTAGTGAGTAGATGAGTTTAGTTGTTGTCTAGTGAGTAGATGAGTTCAGCTGTTGACTAGTGAGTAGATGAGTTTAGTTGTTGACTAGTGAGTAGATGAGTTTAGCTGTTGACTAGTGAGTAGATGAGTATAGCTGTTGACTAGTGAGTAGATGAGTTTAGCTGTTGACTAGTGAGTAGATGAGTTTAGTTGTTGTCTAGTGAGTAGATGAGTTCAGCTGTTGACTAGTGAGTAGATGAGTTTAGTTGTTGACTAGTGAGTAGATGAGTTTAGCTGTTGACTAGTGAGTAGATGAGTATAGCTGTTGACTAGTGAGTAGATGAGTTTAGCTGTTGACTAGTGAGTAGATGAGTTTAGTTGTTGTCTAGTGAGTAGATGAGTTTAGCTGTTGACTAGTGAGTAAATGAGTTTAGTTGTTGTCTAGTGAGTAGATGAGTTTAGCTGTTGACTAGTGAGTAGATGAGTTTAGTTGTTGTCTAGTGAGTAGATGAGTTTAGCTGTTGACTAGTGAGTAGATGAGTTTAGTTGTTGACTAGTGAGTAGATGAGTTTAGCTGTTGACTAGTGAGTAGATGAGTTTAGCTGTTGACTAGTGAGTAGATGAGTTTAGTTGTTGTCTAGTGAGTAGATGAGTTCAGCTGTTGACTAGTGAGTAGATGAGTTTAGTTGTTGACTAGTGAGTAGATGAGTTTAGCTGTTGACTAGTGAGTAGATGAGTATAGCTGTTGACTAGTGAGTAGATGAGTTTAGCTGTTGACTAGTGAGTAGATGAGTTTAGTTGTTGACTAGTGAGTAGATGAGTTTAGCTGTTGACTAGTGAGTAGATGAGTATAGCTGTTGACTAGTGAGTAGATGAGTTTAGCTGTTGACTAGTGAGTAGATGAGTTTAGTTGTTGTCTAGTGAGTAGATGAGTTCAGCTGTTGACTAGTGAGTAGATGAGTTTAGTTGTTGACTAGTGAGTAGATGAGTTTAGCTGTTGACTAGTGAGTAGATGAGTATAGCTGTTGACTAGTGAGTAGATGAGTTTAGCTGTTGACTAGTGAGTAGATGAGTTTAGTTGTTGTCTAGTGAGTAGATGAGTTTAGCTGTTGACTAGTGAGTAAATGAGTTTAGTTGTTGTCTAGTGAGTAGATGAGTTTAGCTGTTGACTAGTGAGTAGATGAGTTTAGTTGTTGTCTAGTGAGTAGATGAGTTTAGCTGTTGACTAGTGAGTAGATGAGTTTAGTTGTTGACTAGTGAGTAGATGAGTTTAGCTGTTAATTATGTGTTAAAATATCCTGAGCTTGTGTTCACTCCAGAGCCCAGAATAACTCATTAAAAACTCCACTGATTTCAGGCCCATAGATTCAAATCTGCTTAGACTCCACATTTCGGCCTAGGAGAGTGTTTCACAGAAGGCAGACCACTGCTAAAAAGACGTCACCTAGCATTCCACGTGATTTACATTCATCTGAAAGCGAGAAAGTGAAGCTCAGTTTAGCAGCAGCTTTTAATCTCAGGTTGTGGTTGAAAGTTCTCAGTGTGTGGAGTTCGCGAGTGTGAAGTGTCTTTCCATTCACACCCTTTCTGGCAGATCGGCCTAACAGAAACCCGTTCAGCAAAGAGTGCGCCATCAGTTTATCATGAGGGGGAAGGGGACCGGCGTAATTAGAATTAGCTCGCTACTTCAGAACCTGGCCCTAGAAAACAATGGCGCGGTTCATGAGGCAGCATTAGGAGTTTAGGAATGTTTGCACTGCTTCGTCACAACCAATTACATGCTTTGAAATAATTTGTCTTTCTCTAAAAGCGCTGGCGTGGCTTTCAGAAGTGTTGGGTAAGAGCGAAGCTGACGTTCACGAGGCTGAATCCGCTCCATAAGAGGAGGAGAGTCTTCAGTCTGGAAGTCATTAAAACCCCGTCCAGAGGAATGGAGGGAAAACTGCTGTTTTTCATGATCTGCTTTTCTCGGCTCAAACTTCTCTCTGGCTTCCTCTCGGCTGACACCCTTGGTTCTT